GAACGTGAAGAACCAGTGGCATCTGCATCTACAGAACGTGAAGAACCAGTGGCATCTACATCTACAGAACGTGAAGAACCAGTGGCATCTACATCTGCAGAACGTGAAGAACCAGTCCCATCTACATCTGCAGAACGTGAAGAACCAGTCGCATCTACATCTGCAGAACGTGAAGAACCAGTGGCATCTACATCTGAAGAACGTGAAGAACCAGTGGCATCTACATCTGCAGAACGTGAAGAACCAGTGGCATCTACATCTGCAGAACGTGAAGACACCAGTGGCATCTACATCTGCAGAGCGTGAAGAACCAGTGGCATCTACATCTGCAGGAGATGATACAACTTTTAAAGCCATTCCCCGTGTTTAGTGTACACGCCGTGCAACACGTTTCGAATCGACAGGAGTAAAGTTGGACTTACGAACAAATCGACTTACGAACAGACCTCTGGAACCTAACTCGTTCACAAGTAGAGGAGCCCATGTATTGCTGTGAAGGGTATTATGATGCTAGTTTAACCCAGGAGAGCCTCACTGAGTCTCAAGACTCGTTGTTCACGAGGGCCCTGCCAAGGCTGTCGTAGTCATAGAGCGATGCGACTTTGCGGTTGCTACTGTGTGTGTGATCCAAATTGAGTAATTTGCAGGGTCATTTAGCCGCTTTGGGGTTAGCTATGGGAGGAAATCGAGGAAACCCATGCAGAACAGGGGGAGGGAAAATACAAAACCCCACTCAGACTGCAGAACAGGGGGAGATCATACAAACTCCACTCACTCACTCTGTAGAACAGGGGGAGATCATACAGACTCCACTCACTCTCACTTTGTAGAACAGGGGGAGATCATACAAACTACACTCACTCTCACTTTGTAGAACAGGGGGAGATCATACAAACTCCACTCACTCTACAAAACAGGGGGAGATCATACAAACTGCACTCACTCTCACTCTGTAGAACAGGGGGAGAACACACAAACTCCACTCACTCAATCTGTAGAACAGGGGTAGATCATACAAACTCCACTCACTCTACAGAACAGGGGGAGATCATACAAACTCCACTCACTCAATCTGTAGAACAGGGGTAGATCATACAAACTCCACTCACTCTACAGAACAGGGGGAGATCACACAAACTCCACTCACTCTACAGAACAGGGGGAGAACACACCAACTCCACTCACTCTACAGAACAGGGGGAGAACACACAAACTCCACTCACTCTACAGAACAGGGGGAGATCATACAAACTCCACTCACTCTACAGAACAGGGAGAGATCACACAAACTCCACTCACTCTACAGAACAGGGGTAGATCACACAATTCCACTCACTCTACAGAACAGGGAGAGATCACACAAACTCCACTCACTCTACAGAACAGGGGGAGATCACACAAACTCCACTCACTCTTCAAAACAGGGGGAGATCATACAAACTTCACTCACTCTACAGAACAGGGGGAGACCACACAAACTCCACTCACTCTTCAAAACAGGAGGAGATCATACAAACTCCACTCACTCTTCAAAACAGGGGTAGATCACACAAACTCCACTCACTCTACAGAACAGGGGTAGAACATACGAACTTGCACACAGAGAGGTGCACTAGTCGAGAATCGAACCCAGGCTCCTGATCGCTGCGAGACGCTACCACACCCCTGCAGGTCCTTCCCAACCGCGTTGTTGCGTTGTCGCGAGCGCTGTCAAGCGTTTGTCGCGGAGTGAGTTGGCGTTACGTTTGTGCCCGACCGGCACGAGCCCGCGGGCCTCCCCTAGGTCGACTCGGCATCAAATGAGCGACGAGGCGCTGGGAGAAAACGAACAAGGGGGGGGCGATTGGCTCGCCACACCAACCCACGTGCTCGCTCGCATCACGGTTGACGTCACAATGGCTCACGGCTGAGCCATTGTGACGCAAGGGGTCACGCGGGTTTCATTGCTGCCCGCGAGTTCGAATATTTGATGCTGGCGTGGGCCGTTGTCAGGTGGAATGTTCGAGTAAGATGTGTGCGTGTGTGCGCGTGTCGTAGACTTCTTCTCCACCCTACACAGCAGCCTTGCTAACACAAGTTGTCACGTGAAGCGTGGTGGCTTGTGTTCTTGGTTCTTTCGGTAAAGTCACGTAGAAGGGAAATAATAAAATAGTAATTAAACATAATAACATAAAATTAGCACGACGTTACGGCCACAACACAAGCAGCCGTCCTCAGGTGAAGAAACAGAGCTGTCGGAAAGACAGCGTCTTAATGAACACTGCTAAGCTTGGCAGCGAATTTTAAGCTGGGTGGGAGGAGCAGAGCGCCTTGACAAAGGAGTTTACATATCAACAGAGGACGGCTGCTTGTGTTGTGGCCGAAACGTCGTGAGAGTTTTATTTTATTACGTAAAATTTTTATTCTTTTATTATTTCCCTTCTACGTGACTTTACCGAAAGAACCAAGAAGATGAATCCCTGCAGTCACGAAAGCTTTAAATCGTGGTGCCTTGGTTATGGACATCAGTTCCGATGAGACAAAGGTTGGCCGGGCGTGAGCGCTGCCGGCCTTAATAGGTGCTCGCTAACAGCGCAATGCTACCGCGTGGCCGTATGGCTGAGCATAATGTACGCGGCGTTACGTGTGCACCGCGGCAGGTGAAACCGGTAACCGTTAAACCGGTGACCGATTTGAGGATCGACTACCGGTTCTGAAAGTCAGGCGCTCACTGACTTTCAGAACCTACACTTGCCCCGAACGGTCTGTGGAGGCTATACGGGGGATCTTTGTCCTTGCGATGTAACGCGACCCGGGTTCGATTCCCGCTCACGGCCCAGCATCAGCGATGATTATATCCGAACCGGTCCTGGGCCTCCCCTAGGTCGACTCAGCCATAAATGAGTACCTCTTGCGGTGTGTAAACTTCAGGACTAGGGAAGCATTAGCGGTGAGGCGTGGTGTGTATACGTGTGTGTATTTGTCTTTGTGTATGTGCATGCTTGTTTGTGTGCGTGAGTAGTTGTGTATGTGTATATAAGTGTGTTTGTGTGTAGGTGTGTGCGTGTAGGTATGTATGTGTCTTTGGTATATAAGTGTGTACGTGTGCGTGTAAGTACGTGTAAATTTGTACGTGTGTATGTATGTACGTGTGTATGTATCTACGCGAGTGTGTGTGTATGTATATAAGTATCTATGTAAGTATGTGTGTAAGTGTATGTGTAAGTGTGTGTATGCAAGTGTGAGCGTGTGTATGTGAGCGGTGGCGCAGCGGTTAGCGCTACGCTGCGCTACGAACCCGGCGACCCGAGTTCGATTCCCGCTCACGGCCAACACCGGTGACGATTATCTGAAACGGTCCTGGGCCTCCCCTAGGTCGACTCAGCCTCATATGAGTACCTGGTGCATCGCCACTAGGGAGACAAAGGCGGCCGGGCGTGGTATTGGCCACTCACCCCCTCGTGTGCCGTGCCGGCCTTCATAGGTGCTCGCTAACCGCACTTGCCCCTACAGTCTGTTAAGGCTATAAGGGGGATCGTTGTCTTTATCTTTGTAGTGTATGTGTGTATGTATGCGTGTAAGTATATGTATGCAAGTGTGTGTTTTAGTGTATATGTAAGTGTGTCTGTGTAAGTGTGTGTATGCAAGTGTGTGTGTGTAAGTGTGTGTGTGTCTATGTAAGTGTGTGTGTAAGTGCGTTTTTTGTGTGTGTAAGTTTGCATGTACGTGTGTGTAAGTATGTGTGTATGTAAATGTGTGTATCTAAGTGTGAGTATGTGTATGTAAGGGTGTGTGTAAATGTGTGTATGTAAGTGTATGTACGTAAGTGTGTGTAAGTGTGTGTGTCTAAGTGTGTGTAAGTGTGTGTATGTAAGTGTAAGTGTCTGTGTAAGTGTGTGTGTGTAAATGTGTAAGTGTGTAAGTGTGTGTAAGTGTGTGTGTGTAAGTGTGTAAGTAAGTGTGTGTAAGTGTGTGTAAGTGTGTGTAAGTGTGTGTGTGTAAGTGTGTGTAAGTGTGTGTAAGTGTGTGTAAGTGTGTATATGTAAGTGTGTGTAAATGTGTGTAAGTGTGTGTGTGTACGTGTGTGTAAGTGTGCAAGTGTGTGTAAGTGTGTGTAAGTGTGTAAGAGTGTGTTAGTGTGTGTGTAAGAGTGTGTAAGTGTGTGTGTAAGTGTGTGTGTAAGTGTGTGTAAGTGTGTGTAAGTGTGTAAGAGTGTGTTAGTGTGTGTGTAAGTGTGTAAGTGTGTGTGTAAGTGTGTAAGTGTGTGTGTAAGTGTGTAAGGGTGTGTAAGTATAAGGGTGTGTATGTAAGTGTGTGTAAGTGTGTGTAAGTGTGAGTGTGTGTAAGTGTGTAAGTGTGTGTAAGTGTGTAAGTGTGTGTAAGTGTAAGTGTGTAAGTGTGTGTGTAAGTGTGTAAGTGTGTGTGTAAGTGTGTAAGTGTGTGTAAGTGTGTAAGTGTGTAAGTGTGTAAGTGTGTGTAAGTGTGTAAGTGTGTGTGTGTAAGTGAGTGTGTAAGTGTGTAAGTGTGTGTAAGTGTGTAAGTGTGTGTAAGTGTGTAAGTGTGTGTGTAAGTGTGTAAGTGTATGTAAGTGTGTGTAAGTGTGTGTAAGTGTGTGTGTGTAAGTGTGTGTAAGTGTGTGTCTATGTGTGTGTGTAAATGTGTAAGTGTGTAAGTGTGTGTAAGTGTGTGTAAGTGTGTGTAAGTGTGTAAGTGTGTGTAAGTGTGTAAGTGTGTGTAAGTGTGTAAGTGTGTAAGTGTGTGTATAAGTGTGTGTGTAAGTGTGTAAGTGTGTGTGTGTAAGTTTGTAAGTGTGTGTGTGTAAGTGTGTAAGTGTGTAAGTGTGTGTAAGTGTGTAAGTGTGTGTGTAAGTGTGTGTGTGTAAGTGTGTGTAAGTGTGTAAGTGTGTAAGTGTGTGTGTAAGGTGTAAGTGTGTGTAAGTGTGTAAGTGTGTGTAAGTGTGTGTAAGTGTAAGTGTGTAAGTGTGTGTGTAAGTGTGTGTGTGTAAGTGTGTGTGTGTAAGTGTGTGTAAGTGTGTAAGTGTGTGTGTGTAAGTGTGTAAGTGTGTGTAAGTGTGTGTGTGTAAGTGTGTGTGTGTAAGTGTGTGTAAGTGTGTAAGTGTGTGTGTGTAAGTGTGTGTAAGTGTGTAAGTGTAAGTGTGTAAGTGTGTGTAAGTGTGTGTAAGTGTGTAAGTGTGTGTAAGTGTGTGTTGTTAGGCGCGGCACACTGGACTCGCCGCCAGGCGAGACAGCAGTCGGGCACAACGCCTGTAATCTGCACACGGGAACATCAACAACATCACCACCATCAACATCACCACCATCAGCATCACCACCAGCAACATCATCAACATCAACACCATCAACATCACCACCATCAACATCACCACCATCAACACCATCAACATCAACACCAGCAACATCAACATCACCATCAACATCATCACCACCATCATCATCACCACCATCATCACCACCATCAGCAACACCAACACCAACATCATCACCACCATCAGCATCACCACCATCAGCATCACCACCATCAACATTAACATCACCACCATCAACATCACCACCATCAACATCACCACCATCAACATCACCACCATCAACATCACCACCATCAACATCACCACCATCAACATCACCACCATCAACATCACCACCATCAACATCACCACCATCAGCATCACCACCAGCAACATCACCACCATCAACATCACCACCAGCAACATCACCATCAACATCGCCATCAACATCACCACCATCAACATCATCAACATCACCATCAACATCGCCATCAACATCATCAACATCACCACCAGCAACATCACCACCAGCAACACCACCATCATCAACATAATCACCAGCAACATCACCATCAACATCACCACCATCACCATCAACATCACCACCATCAACATTACCACCATCAACATCACCACCATCAACATCACCATCAACATCACCATCAACATCACCATCAACATCACCATCAACATCACCACCGTCAAAAAAATTATCAGCATCACCATCAACGTCATCACCATCAACATCACCAACATTAACATCATTACCACCATCACCACCATCAACATCACCATCAACACCACCACCACCATCATCACCGCCATCACCATAATAAACACAATCAGCAGCATCATGATCGTCACCATGATTACACACATCATCAACATCATCATAATCATCACAGACCCCATCACCATCAACATCATCATCACCATCATACTCACGATCAGCATCAACACCATCGATACTAAAACCATCAACCCCATCAATGCCACAAATGCCGTCACCATCGTAATCAATATCACTAGCACGAACAACACAAATGCCATCATCACACAAATCAACATAAATGCAATCATAACCATCACCACCGTCAACACTGCCACCATCATCACCACCATCACCACCATCACCACAATAATTCAGTGATGAATATCTGAACCTGTCCTGGGCCTCCCCTAGGTCGACTCAGCCTCAAATGTGTACCTGCATGGGTTTAGGACTGCAGACATCAGAACTGGAGCGGCGAAGGCCCCACTGGGAGTGGCTCTGGCCACGCTACCAGCTGACAGCACTTGCCCCAGCAGTCTGCGTGCCTATATGGGGGATCTTTGTCTTCGTGTGTTGGCAGTGTGCGTGTGTGTTCACTCACACGCGGGTGTCGTGCAGTCACGGGAGGTGTGGTACAGGCGGTAGTAGTGAGCGCTGCACTGCCGAGGGAAGAACAGGTGACCTACACACACACGTTCACAAAAGACAAAGGTCCCCCGTATAGCCTGCAACAGACTGTTGGGGCAAGTGCTGTTCGCGAGTAGCACCTATGAAGGCCGGTACGGCACATGGCGGTGGTGAGTGGCCAGCACCACGCCCAGCCGCCTTTGTCTCCCCCAGGAGCGATGTTTACACACCGCACCAGGTACTCATTTGAGGCTGAGTCGACCTAGGGGAGGCCCAGGGCCGTTTTAGATACTCGTCACTGAGTGTTGGCCGTGAGCCGTCAGATTTGTAGCGCAGCGTAGCGCTAACTGCTACACCACCGCTCCCCACGTGAACACAATCAACACTTGAACACACGTGCACAGAGGTGAACACACACACACGGGTGAACTCACGCACGCAGATGAACACGCACAGATGAACACACACAAGTGAATACACCTACACACACACACGTCATCACACATAGGTGAACAAGCACACACAGATGAACACACACACGTGAACACACGTACACATAGGTGAACACACACACAGGTGTCCTACACACACGTCATCACACACAGGTGAACACACACACACGTGAACACACATATGAACACACACAGGGGAACACACACACAGGTGAACACACACACGTGAACACACAGGTGACCTACACACACAGGTAAACTCACACACAGGTAAACTCACACACACGTGAACACACACAGGTGAACACCCACACAGGCGAACACACACACACATATGAACACACACACAGGCGAACACACACACGTGAACACACAGGTGACCTACACACACAGGTAAACTCACACACAGGTAAACTCACACACACGTGAACACACACAGGTGAACACACACATATGAACACACACACAGGCGAACACACACACGTGAACACACAGATGAACACACACAGATGAACACGCACAGGCGAGCACATCTACACACACACTTCATCAAACATAGGTGAACACACACACAAACGTGAACACACACACACAGGTGAACACACACAGATGAACACACACACACGTAGGTGAACACACACAGGTGAACACACACAGATGAACACACACACGTGAACACACCTGTGTGGTGTCTCAGGTACTTGCTCTTCAGCCCGGCATCCCTCGGGACCAGTGCTGCGGAAACACACAGCACACCACAAAGGTCCCCCGTATAGCCTCAACGTGCTGCTGGGGCAAGTGCTGTTAGCGAGCAGCACCTACGAAGGCCGGCACGGCACGCGACAGGGGAGGGCGGCCAGCACCCCGCCCGGCCGCCTTTGTCTCCCCGGTGGCGATGCTAACTACACACCGAAACTAAGCCTACCTAGGGGACGGCCCAAGATCGAGTTTTGATATTCGTCAAAGTCGTTGGCCGTGAGCGAGAATCGAACTCGGATATTTTAGCGGGTTCGTAGCGCAGTGCAGCGCTAACAACCACACGAGCGCTCCCCAAAGACACACGCCACGCACACAACTACTTGTGCCAGGCTAGGTGCACCTTGAGGCCACGTGAAGTGTCCAAGGCTCGCTGACAGGAGGTCACGGGGACAGACCCAGGTGCTTTGCGTTGACTGACTGAGAATGAGATGACCGGCAGATCGATTCACCACCTGTGCGCCCTACGGTGCCAACTCGCTGTCGTGAGCGTCGCTCATCCGCCCTCCGTCGTTGTTGTGGTTGTTGTTGGAAGGCGACTGCCTCCAATTGCCCAGCAGCAGCGTCATTCGCGAGCCTCCCCCTCCACAGAGGTCGATCTTGACACCTCCGTTACCAGTCATCGGCAAATACACAGCCTCCCACATCCCCCGCATCACATCAGCTCAATCTCTTCTCTAGCAACGTTTAGCCCCCTCTATCTCGCCAAACAGATGCTGTTTGGGCAATGCGGTGGCTGGCCATTGCGGGCTTGCATGACCCAGCCAACGCAGCCTCGCCTGCCGGAGGCGCTCACTCGATGGGACTTTGTCCAGAATCTGTCAAGGATTATGTGAGATCCTCACCACTGGAATCCAGTCTGGTTAAACCCAGGATGGATCACAGGCGGGCCAGCCTGAATGTTTCAAACCGGCGCAGACGTTCCTTGAAAGGCCTCGGCGTGTTGCAAGCAGCCGAGAATGGAGGGACTACCTGTAGCCGAGACGAAGCCGGCAGCATCGTGGGGAGAGACAGACCAGGTAGCTTTTCACGCAGCATTACGCAACCAGGTGGGAAGACAACGCCGCTCGGTCGGAGCTGGTCGTAAGCAGACTGCCTAGGTCATGGAAACTTCTCCACTCTTGCCCCAAAAATACGTGAAGGCGATACGGGGGACCTTTGTCTTTGTGTGTATGTGTGTCCCGCTGTGTGCTCGTGTGTATGTTGTAGGGAGCGGTGGTGTAGCGGTTAGCGCACTGCGCTACGAACCCGGCGACCCGAGTTCGACTCCCACTCACGGCCAACACCGGTGACGGGGTTCTGGGTCTCCCCTAGGTCGACTCAGCCTCAAATGAAGACCTGGTGCAGCGGTGGTGGTGTAGTAAACATCGCCACTTGGGAGACAAAGGCGGCCGGGCGTGGTGCTGGCCACCCACCCCCTCGTGTGCCGTGCCGACCTTCATAGGTGCTGCTCGCTAACAGCACTTGCCCCAACAGTCTGTTGCAGGCTATACAAGGTGGGGGGGATCTTTGACTTTGTGACCCCCCCCCCCCACCCAGGCGTTGCCCCCCCCCCCTCAACACATCGCTTCGGGCCCCCCTCTCGCATGAGCGCGCCCCCCGTGTCAACAGCGCCGGCGGGGGAATGCGGCCCGCGCGCTTTGATTGCTGGAGCGTGGGGCGCTGTCTCCAGCGGGGGTGCCCCATCACCGGGAGGGAGGTGGTGGGGGGAGGGGCAGAGAGGGGGGTGGTGGGGGGAGGGGCAGAGAGGGGGGTGGTGGGGGGAGGGGCAGAGAAAGATGGGGGGGGGAGAGAGAGAGGGAGATGGTGAGAGAGGGGGGGGGGATGGTGAGAGAGAGGGGGGGGGGGGGATGGTGAGAGAGAGGGGGGGGAGATGGTGAGAGAGAGGGGGGGGGAGATGGTGAGAGAGAGGGGGGGGAAATGGTGAGAGAGAGGGGGGGGGAGATGGTGAGAGAGAGGGGGGGGAAATGGTGAGAGAGAGGGGGGGGGAGATGGTGAGAGAGGAGGAGGGAGATGGTGAGAGAGAGGGGGGGGAGATGGTGAGAGAGAGGGGGGGGGAGATGGTGAGAGAGAGGGGGGGGAAATGGTGAGAGAGAGGGGGGGGAGATGGGAAGAGAGGGGGGGAAATGGTGAGAGAGAGGGGGGGGGAGATGGTGAGAGAGAGGGGGGGGAAATGGTGAGAGAGAGGGGGGGGAGATGGTGAGAGAGGAGGAGGGGAGATGGTGAGAGAGAGGGGGGGGAAATGGTGAGAGAGAGGGGGGGGGGGGAGATGGTGAGAGAGAGGGGGGGAAATGGTGAGAGAGAGGGGGGGGGAGATGGGTGAGAGAGGAGGGGGGGAAATGGTGAGAGAGAGGGGGGGGAGATGGTGAGAGAGAGGGGGGGGAAATGGTGAGAGAGAGGGGGGGGGAGATGGTGAGAGAGAGGGGGGGAAATGGTGAGAGAGAGGGGGGGGAGATGGTGAGAGAGAGGGGGGGGAAATGGTGGAGAGAGAGGGGGGGGAGATGGTGAGAGAGAGGGGGGGGAAATGGTGAGAGAGAGGGGGGGGGAGATGGTGAGAGAGAGGGGGGGGAAATGGTGAGAGAGAGGGGGGGGGAGATGGTGAGAGAGAGAGAGAGGGGGGGGGGGAGATGGTGGGGGAGGGGCAGATAGAGAGGGGGGGGAGAAAGGGGGAGATGGTGGGGAGAGAGAGAGGGGGGGGGAAAGGGGGAGATGGTGGAGGGAGGAGCAGAGAGAGAGGGGGGAGAAAGGGGGAGATGGTGGGAGAGAGAGGGGGGGGGGAGATGGACAGAGGAGGAAGGAGGGAGATGTGGAGGGGGATGGAGGGAGAGTGGGAGTGTGATGGTGAGAGAGGGGGGGGGGACGGAGGGAGGTGAAGAGAGAGATGAATAATCGTGGTGGAGGTGGTCGTGGTGATATCGGTGGGTAGTTCGTTGTGGTTGCCACTATGTCGGCACGCTCCGAACACAATCACTCAATCCGCCCATTGCTAAATAACCCACGACATCGCTGTGGACACACAGACAGAGTGCCATGCACACACGCGATCCCTCCACACGCACGACGCACAGGTCCCGACCTCACATGTCCCATCAGCAGCATTGATTCAGCACAGGCAACACTCTAGACCGGCTTCGCCATTCATTGTCTCATCAGCAGCGCGAGTCAGGCTCGCTCGGACCAATGTTGACGAACTGCGCGATTTTGATAGTCAAGGACCGGTTTTGACACTCCGTGCATGATCAGCAGCAGTCAGACTCGCTGGCGAATTGCTAGTCGATGTTTAGTCAAGGACCCCCTCTTTACGATATGGGTCATCGCTCGACACAGAATGATGCACTGCACGGCAATACATAACGCACATTCATCGTGGCCGTCGTTGTAGAGAATATCAATAACATCATCGGTGAGACTTGTAAATATACACAATGAATAAGTCCCGAGTGAGTGGATGGGTGGTTGGGTGATTGAGTCGATGGGTGGGTGAGTGAGTGGACGAGTGAGTGAGCGAGTGAGTGAGTGGATGGGTGAGTGAGCGGATGGGTGGTTGAGTGAGTGGATGGGTGGTTGAGTGAGTGAGTGTATGCGTGGTTGAGTGAGTGGGTGGATGAGTGGTTGAGTGAGTGGGTGGATGGGTGGTTGAGTGAGTGATATGATTGCTGGTTGAGTGAGTGGGTGGATGCGTGGTTGAGTGAGTGGGTGGATGCGTGGCTGAGTGAGTGAGTGGATGCGTGGTTGAGTGAGTGAGTGGATGGGTGGTTAAATGAGTGAGTGGATGCCTGGTTGAGTAAATGGGTGGATGGGTGGTTGAGTGAGTGAGTGAGTGGATGGGTGGTTGAGTGAGTGAGTGGATGGGTGGTTGTTTTTTGAGTGGCTCCTTGACGTTTTTTTTTTACATCCCATCAGACCCACGGCCCTCTGGGAGTGCATATTTTCAGCCACATTGATCGCGTGCTGCTATTGATAACCAGGCGAGAGGCTATATTGCCGATATTGTCTTTCTCTCCCCCTCTCTCAAGGGAGACCGGCATCACAGAACACAAACAGCAACACCGACCAGCACCAATCAATACGTTCCCAATATTCTTGGTTCTTTCGGTAAAGTCACAATGTAGAGAGATAACCCAGTCAGAACAGCGGTTCGACTCTGCCGACGGGCCGCCCCGGATAATACTGCCGCTGTGTGCGCATTCACCATAAAATACCAACGCGCCGTTAGTGTTTCGGTTGAGTGACTGAGCCGAAGGATGGTTGAGTGAGTGGATGGGTGCGTGAATGAGTTGATGGGTGATTGAGTGAGTGATTGGATGGGTGGTTGACTGAATGGATGGATGGTTGAGTGAATGAGTTGATGGGTGATTAAGTGAGTCGGTGGGTGGTTGAGTGAGTGGATGGGTGGTTGAGTGAGTGGATGAGTGGTTGAGTGAGTGAGTGGGTGGTTGATTGAGTGAGTGGATGGGTGGTTGAGTGAGTGATTGGATGGGTGGGTGACTGAGTGGATGGGTGGTTGAGTGAGTGAGTGAGCGGATGGGTGATTGAGTGGGTGGGTGGTTGACTGAGTGAGTGGATGCGTGGTTGAGTGAGTGAGTGGGTGGTTGATTGAGTGAGTGGATGGGTGGTTGAGTGAGTGGGTGGGTGGTTGAGTGACCAGGTGGGCCACTTTACCCAGCCGTGAAACACAGCAGCAGCGCCTTTCTTCGTGAAGACAGCTCGAATACCAAATTCACTGTGGGAATGTTTACATCATAACGATAGTATTGTTGTAATTCATATATATAGTTTCTTTAAAAACTCGTAAATATGTCAACACTTTGGCTGCCACTGGTGTCTCCTGGCCGAGTTGCGCTGAGACATCCGATCGCCGCGCCAAAGTGAAATGCGTGTATCGTCTAATAGTACAATTATTATTATTATTGTTGTCTTGATGATGATGGGATGTAGTCAATATTGTGAGGTTTAACCGCAGCTCAGAGTCAACTCGT